TCATAGACATGAGTCCTCATGCTGTGTAGCTCGCTTTGAATGCTATCTCCACTACCTTTTCTTCTCCGACAGCGAAGAGGACAACATACCACAGGATTAGTATGAACGACAAGAATACAGCCACAACAGCCTCGTATTTAGATGCAGAACTTGCATCGTCGAAACGCCGGATGCCTAAAGGAAGGCTACAACAAAGCAAGGTTATCAAACGACTAAGTCAAGGCAAGCGATCAATACAAACACTGCCAAGAACAGACAGGACTCCACCGGAATTAGAGGGGCATGCCTCTCCTGCCAAGGTCAACTGCCATCGTTCGCCAAATACCATCGACCTTGCCTTTGTTCGAGACATTGTCCATCCGAATCATTACGAAGCCCCCGTCAATCAGGTGTGGTGTTACCGCCCGAATCGTGACTACATGCAACATGTTTGCCATTCCTGTGGTCAAGGGAAGGCGGATGGATTCTGCCTCTGTTCTCGCCAGTCAACTTGAGTACTTATCAAAGCCTATCAAAGCCCTTTGTGGATGGCTGGCTTATCCGGATGATTCTTATAGGTGGAATATACTTCTTTGACCGCTTTGAGCTCAAGAGATAACAAGGGCTATCGCATTGTGGTGCATTAAATTCAACACAACAAAGCACGACGTCTGGTTGATCACCGGCATGGAAATTTTATGTCCCGATGCAGTCCATAGACAAAGCCCACATTCACATGTGTCTCTTAATAGCGAATAATCTTGCAAGATTCGTTCTGACTCCTGATTGAGCAAGTATTGTCGTTCAGGGTGGTCAAGTCTACTGAATCTCCATGTTTCATTATGGTCAACAATATGCGGCGCCCTTTACCTCTCTAAGGGAACCAATAACAGGGAAGCTATCATGATGACTAGTGGCTCGGCGCATTAACCTTTTCAAAGATGGAGGACCTATATAACAACGCTTGACAAGTTTCTCTACACTCTTTGCCATATATTTGGTGCTGTCGACCCCCTGGCGACATCTTGATATATAATACAGAAGCATTACGATTATTGATAAGGAACACAGGAGATGCAAATACAATCACATGGGACAAAACGCGAAAAAAAAGCGATAATTTTGTGACCAACCAAGCTTACATTCAACAGGAATACCGGAATGAGTCAGAAATGCCAGCGTAATTTTTCAAAAAATACTGCAACTTGACTCGGTATCCCAATATATATTTCACGCATGAGGATCTCCGTTCGAGCGCAGAAGATTCCAGCGTCGGTATCTCAGATCAAAGATTGTGTTGTCACAAGAATACCCGTGCGTGACCGCGCCCAGGGTATGGAGTGCGCTATGCGACATCAATGATCCCGTGTTAGCAAACTCGAGTAAGACTTTCTGAGCGCTGAAGTCTTACAGCTACCACATTACCGGAAATGCCTGATGATTAATGTCTTCATCTATGGACTGCGAAGTGGGGAATCAAGAAAAAAATGCCCTAGCAGAAAAGACAAATCACAAAGTATACCGACCAACCACAACTTGCTCATTAGCAAAACCATAAATATCAGCCAAGCATCCCGTTGCTGACCCTCTGATATTGCTATACGGTAAGAACGACTCACACCATTCAGTATCGAGCGATGTCTTTCGATGGCCTCGATCGCACTTTTCGGCACTTTTGAGACGGGCACTGCTTTTCTTGCGAGCTCACGTGATTGTAAGATTGTAAGGCGGCTAAGGCGGTTACGAGGTTTCTCAGGTGGATATGGCAAGCATATCAGGACGAATTTTCATCCTCAGACGTCTGCTCTGACTCATGTTGCAGGTTGTGCTCGTCTGCTTGTATCTCATCGGCTTTGGCCTGGCATGCTGCAGCTGAGAAGCCATTGCCAACTTTGCTGGAGATGATCCGCCAGCGATCCTTATCGTAGTCTTTCATGGCGGTGCGCAATCGGTGAACCTAGGTAGATGTCCTGTATTAGCTTCTTCCTGTATTGTCCGATCTAGCGCTTTGACGATGAGAGAGTGATTCTAGCGCAAATGCCGGCTGGAGCCTTGCAGCGATAATGAACATGCCACGGAAACAATCAAAACCAGCTAAAGTCTCTGGGAGAGACAAGGGCTGGCACGCTTTCTGGTCCACATGTCGTCTCTGTGTATAGAACCCGCCATGCACTCGGATCCGGCAACAGTGAACAGGCGAGAGCTTCCATGTGTTGGGTATAAGATTATAGTTGCCAGACTTTAGGGCATAGCTGCATGAACATAACGTGGACCGTAGATTCTCACGCACTTCATGCATGCTCGGTGTTTGTCTTGAAAAGCGTGGAAACACCGGAAACATAAAGAAATCGTCCAGGCTTACCATCTCATCAGACCAACCGTTCGTCTTGACTTTCAACTTCGTGCAATATCGTACTTGCAGCGTCCCTGAAGTGCGACCAGGGAAGAAGTCTGCGATTTGTTTCCAGGTGAGATTCTTGGTCTCTTTCAAGTCAATCAGCAGAGCGTCGTCTTCGCCACTGAACTTTAATTTGGGTCCTTTTGGTCTTGCAGCAGGCGAGGGCATACCTTCTCGGCCGACCATTGTAGCTGGACCATCGTCCTGAGTCGGCGATGAACTTTGTGGGTGGTATAAACTTTTTAAGGGTTGTGTATGGCTAGGCAGACGATGGTGATGGTGTAGGGTCTGGCTTGGTGGTGAAGATTCTTGTAAAGCGGATGTTTGTTGAGACTGAGACGACTGCTGAGGCTGCAAAGGAGAATCGCTCCGATTAGGCGGTCGCTGAGGCCGCATTTGTAAAGGGAAAGAGGATGACCGGGGTTGTAGACTGTGGTTTTGCGGTGGGAAATCCAATGCCATGGCCATGTTCGCTTGAGCGCTATGGAAGTCAAGTGTTTGGTGTCTTGTATGTTCCGGAAGATCGTCATCTGTCCGACTTCGTTTTCGATGCTGCGGAGACAGCGGCACGTACGTCATCGGCATTGGTACCATACCATGCTCTGGAGTGAGTACGTGTTGGGCAAGATGACTCGGCATCAAATGGCCACGTTCCGTGCCGTAAGGTGATACCGGTATAGGGATTTCTGTGCGGTCCACGTCTGTTGCGCTCGACGCATTAAGATCAACTGGGTACTGCTGCCGACCAACACCGAAGTAGGATGCCTGGGCTTGAAGGTATCCCTGAGTAGTAAGCAAGTCTTGATACCCGGCATGTTGCCCATGGTGGTCTTGAAGGTCTGGGGTTTGCATCGACGCATCACAGCCGTGACCATAATTGTCGCCGTATGGCACCTCCAGGATTGCGAGTAATTGTGTATGCCGCCGGAGCAGTCTGCTCGGACAGCTAGATAAGAGAGGTGGTGAGAGCGACGAAAGATGTCGGATCCAAGGTATGTGAAGTCGGTGAGGTGGAAAGCAATGTAGAAAGCTACAGCTAGGCAACCTTTGTATAGAGAGGCGGCGCAACGTTGGTCGATATAGCGAGTCATATGTTCGAGCTGAACAACAAGAAGGGGTGTCTGAATAGTAGCAGTTTGAGTGTTATATGAAACTCGGGAACGTGGACGTAGCAGTGCGCATCTCTACATGTCACATAAGGAATTTTCTCGATGGAGAGCCTAGAATGCGTGCCTGACAATCTTGCCACAATCGACGCACGCAGTGTGGATCTGATCTTTAAAAGGCTCCCCGAGAGTGCAGATTGGCTGAATAGAGAAGGAAAGACATGTATCATGAACTAAGCCAGACCTTGCAAAGACCCACTTCACACGTTGACAAGTTTGACGTACACTGTGGTCTGCGCCTCTCGCTTATGTCGAGTTGTAGCAGATCGTTAACCGGAACGCCAGTGGAGAGTCAAGAAAGAACCTTTGTCCTTGGATTGGGTGTTAGGGGGCTGACGCACTGGGCATGAAGGTGCGAATGTGCTGCCATGGAGTAGCAGGAGATGCGACAGCGGGCTAAGCTCGGATCTGCAGTGAGGCGGGTCGGCTATTCCGGTATAGGATTAGACGTGTATGCTGCTCTGCCATGATTCGAGAACGACAATCAATCTTCCAGGATGCTGTGGAGAGGCCTAAAAGGTGAGGTGGCTGAGCAGTTCGAAGTTGCAGAAAATAGAAATGGATGTTCTTAACACGCAGTTCCATGTCGCTCATCAACCTTAGAGTTGATGTCTAAAGAGAATGATCATCTCCGCTGACAATCATCTGGCATGGTGGCGTTCTCTCTAGGCTGTGCAATTGCGAGCTGCTAACAGCCAGAGCAAGGCATTAGGACACACTCTCTTCGGCAGTTAAGACGGAAGTCATGAGACAGAGGCCTATATCTGAAGCTCCTAGTCAATAAAGGCCTTGCGCGGGGGACTTGTGTTTATCGGGCCGCTCGGACGTGGTTCATGCCATTGGTTGTCTGTCGCCCACAAGTGTAGTGGTGCACAGGGCATACGTGAGTAAGGTACGCAAACACCTGCCCTGTTAAAAGACATGTATGTGGATCTCAAATGGAGTTGGTGTCGCAATTGCGCATTATTCATGAAATACGACAATGCGACAGCTAGGAGGCTGAGAATATTTAGGAACGAGGTGCCTGACACGGGAGGAGCCGCAATGTTTCAACGGAGGCTTAAATCAGGCGCGACGCTCTACACCAAACATAGCTACTCGTAGACACTCTATACCATGCAATACAGAGCGATCCCGCGGCATCGCTTGGTCTTGACCAGCTCAGGCGAGTTCCATGGCATCCTTGCTATCTACATGCTATTGTTCTGTGCAATGCCTCATCACGAGCTTTCGGAGTCTACCGCGCTCGACGCTTGGATCCTTGGGCTTTCACAAATCGGCAATTTTAATACCTCTCTGAACGCCACCGTTTCAAACCAGCAGTAGTCTCTGCTTTGGGGGCGGAACTCTCACCGAATCCAGTAGTGACTCCATGGTTGAAACGAGACTTGGTGGGCAACCGTGACTGCATCTATCACAGTCTACTTACAATGTCTGATATCTCGCTGAGATCACCAGCCCTCTTAGCTCAGTTGGTAGAGCGCGGCACTAGTATACCATACGAGATGCCGAGGTCGCCAGTTCGACTCTGTCAGAGGGCAGTATCAGCCTCCAGGCTTCTCCTTTTGCTCACCGATATGACGTTCCTTCTTTTGACGTTACACAGGATCAGAGGGATTCGCCAATGCACTGTCCAATTACCGCCCAACTGGGCAGCTGGGAAGTAGCAAGGCTCCGTCTGTGGCTCATGTTCAGTCTAGCATACTTTCTCTAACGCTGCAGCTTTCTACTTGACAACTATTGGTCGGGGAAAGTTTCATGCTGGTAAGGAGGCTGACGGCTCATGTGCTGGACCTCATCGCCTCCATCATTCGGGACTCGCCACGTTCCCGCCTTCACATCTGGCAGGCCTTGGGAGCTTATCATGCTTACATGTACGCAAATTTGAATGAGAAATGATCTTCGATGCCTGTCCTCAGCCCGTATCAAAACGTATCAGCCATTGGTTGATTATGACCTCCTCTTAGATGAAATCCTGGACATGCATATGTCACATCTTTTCCTGACCTTGCTGAAGCACATCTACCCGGGAACCCCAGCATGATGTAATCTATCACAACCCTGACTGGAATCAACTTGCAGTCTGGCTTTCATTTCAACTTTTGGAAACCTCTATGCCAGAATCACATAGACTTTCTGCGGGTCTTCAACCAATTACATTGACTGTACAGATATACGATCTTCTCACTAAGCTCATGAAGTTAGAGTGGCATTGCCGGCGTGAGGTAGCAATGTTTAGCATGTCTTGACCCATAGTCAAGTATAAGGAAGGATTGGCTGCCTCTTACAAACATTGCAGCGCAGCTCTCCAGTCATGTGCAGCACGATGGATAAGGCCGACGATTCGGCTTACTGGTACAGCCTGCCATGCCGAAATTATCATGGCAGGAACTGCGCCACACAAAAATGGCTTTGACCCTGGTTCGATAAACATAAGAAGTCTTGATACCTTCCAAGGTAGAGCTGTTAGTGTTGATTTTTAAGCAGGACATAGAAGAATGTTTTATACTAAGTATGAGCCTGACCATTGCTTTGGAGGATCCTCACTCTCGATATTGTGTCCAACTCTATTGCATTGCAACAGCCAGACTTCTCTGAGCCTGGTAGTATTGACATTGACAATTACCATCCATCTCCACATAATCAAGATATGTGATTGATTGTATATAAATAGCGACAACATGACTTATGTAGACTTTAGCACAGAAGAACAGACCAGGAGCAGTGACGCCTGTCACATCTAGACAGGATGAACGAGCCTTTGTCTCTGTTCTTAATAAATCAACAATTGAGCTGGACATAGCTGCAGAGAAACATGGTGATGCGCAGGTGAAGTTTCACGATCTTCGCGGAAGATGTTTCCATCGAAGCTAAAGCGAAATGGGAAACTTCTCGCAGATCTATCCGGGATCCCCCCCACGCAGCGGTGAACTACTATAAAGGTGTGCATATCGCACTGCAAGTGTCCACCTTAAGCCCCGAGCGTAAGGAAGAGAAGGATTGCGTGGCTTCGTCGCCTACATGTAGTGCCCAATTTGATTGAGATGCTCTGAATGTATGACCAAGAAAAGGCTGAATCAATGCGCGATGAACCAAATATTTGGGTTGATTCAATGGATACTAGTGAAGCCATGATACTCGATATGGACGTAATGTTGATACATTAGGCTCGGAATACAACCGGGAAGTGGAGATACCTGTACTGCAGACGAGCGACTGATTTCCGATCCACTTCCTCGGATATCTCATACATAGTCGGCATATGCCGTACGATGATTGCTCGCATCAGGTCGTCAACTTCTACATACGACTAGCAAGAACGTATCGGACCAGGCCGAGTTATGGACCTGACTGTTATATCAGGAAGAAGCGAGCCAAGCAAACGCAGGAGAAGAACGACTATCAAGCTACACTTGATTTTTCATCGAACCACCGTGAACAGCTCTAAGCTTTGGTATCTCCGTTCTGAATATGGAGAGTAAAGATTGGGGGAGCTCGTCGATGTCTGTGCTCTCTGCCCCTAAAGACAATCAACTTGTCCAGCACCGTGCTAAACTGGATTGAGGGCAACTATGATGACCTCATTGCGTCTTTCGCTACACAAGTGTCATTGATTGAGCATGGAGGAAAATTCACTGTGCCTACCTACGCCTTGCGCTATGTTACCTTGATAAACCTGTCCTTCTGAGCTTGCGAGTGTCAGCTGCATGGTAGAGTAATCCTTGCAAGAATGATCATCACGATAGAGAGGCGAAGATTCTTCAACTGAGGAACATCTAGAGCAAGCGTATATGTGTACGAGTGTCTCTACTATCAGCTATGAACAGAAAAAACAAACAAACAAGGTGTCTAGTCCCCCATACCCTTAAGCATCCACCCTACTTTATGATACTTGAGTACTTTGCTTACTGCTATGGTCGCGCAGGTAATCAATAATTATCATTCTCATGACTACAGCTCTCCACTGATAGACCGCTTGACATGCCAATTTAATCTAGAGAGAATCGACCACGACACACCCTATCAACCACAACCAGGAGCATGCAGCTGCGCAGAGCGATCTTAGCGACGCTGCCGCACTCCACGCAGAAGCTTTCCTCGGCCTGTTATACATCCAGACAAGGAATTACTGACTTACACGTTAGGGATTGCCCCGAGAAGTCGCTCTGACGTCCGCGCAACCCGCACACCAGCCCGAGTCCTCTTCGCCGCCGCCTTTGTTTAGCCACTACCAATTACTCTGCCCATTCCAGATATCTGATCAGCTGCCGCAGCGTGGAAGGTCCTTGCTACAAATGCACGCTCAGGCTCACACAAGACATACGCCTCCTGCCATGTAGAAGCTAGCGCTAGACAGAGCGCAATGGGCACCTGATATTGCAGACAAACTACATCTGTTATATCTCTCCCACTGTAGGGAATCAATTTTGTAGCAAGCTGTGTCCAACAAGTATGAGAAGCAAGAAAAGATCTTCCAAAAGGGACGATATGTCTGCATATTCTTCTTGCTCCTCTATATACCACTATCAAAAGTGGACAATTTCTTGACACGAGCATGGATTAGTGGAATTGCCATGCAGTTGCAAGATCATGGTACCATGATTTCGTTCAAGTGGTATCGATACACATATGCCTCTGTGTTGTCTCCGAACGGAAGCCGGGCACGCACGCAAGCTTAGGTAAACACTTCATATCTGCACATAAAGTGGACAGAAGGTTGCCAAAAAGCTCGATCGTCTTACAGAGGAGCAAAGCGTCCACAGTAGGTTGGAAAGGATCATCGAAGGAATTTCTTCTAGCATTCCTTTCGATCTTATGATCAGGGGGAGTAAAATAACAGGCAACGTCCAGCATCGTGTGTCTCTCTTAGCAAGAGGTTTGGCAAATTCTTGATGGACAGAGATAGAAATGGAGGGTTCTCCATAGCCTGCACATCCGGTTATCCTTGTCCCTTAGCCTAATAGACAAGCCTCTCCTTCAGTAAGAGCGTAGTAAGTAGCTGTCTCCTGTTTCGTGGACAAACAACACATATCGCCTTTGTGTTTTCCATTATTACCTGAGCAGAGTAGCAATAGAGGTCACGCGTTCGCTGCATATGACCGTGTCCCCCATAACTCGGAGACTGGTTGTACAAAGCCTCATCAAGGGTCTGCAGTATGGATAAGTCTGAACGTATATACCTCTAGTTTCCGTATCCTAGATCCTAATCACCACGTTATGTGGAATCCTTCACTTACGAGGCGGGCTCTGTCAGAAGAACTATATCCCAGGACAAAGACATAGTCCGTAGAACACAGGAAGTAGAGCAGCAGGCTAAGCATGGACATCCAGTTCCACCCTATCGATTCGATGCCTTTTCCAGTACTAGCAAACAATATTGCGCCTCCTTGTTCTTGACAAGGGAGAACGATGACAGCAATTATCTCGAGTGCCTGCGTATCTTGCGTACCCAGCTTCTTGCGGCATCTGTATGAATTACTTGCATAGTGTTGTAGGCAGATAACGATAGCAGTTGTGAGTGACAAGTCACTTGATGATGAGATTCTCTCGATTATTCTAAGTTAGGCCTGTAATTATTCATTCACCTTTCCTTAGCAGGGGTAGTTGAAGCAATATCCCACACTCTCAAGGGAAAGAGACTAATCTCGCAAAGAGTACATATGGTTTAATCCTGATCTTCAGATCCAAAGGATGTAGCGTCATGAACAAAGAGAACAATGACCAGATTTGCAGCTTTTCGGGGATTCGATACTGCCGAGCATGTAATCCTTCAACATGAGCACATAGAAGAGAAAAGACAGGCCAACGAGCAGCTCAAAGACCCGCATCTCTAGAAGATAGTATACAAATGTCTTGACTTGAGGAGAAGCATCACATGTTTTTCCATCCTTGATTACGGAGAGATAGGTGAGTCTGAAGAGACAATGCATGCCTCTGTGTCTCTGCTATATACGGTGACATCCAAATACATAATAGATTTTGCAGTAGAGCGAAGACTGAACTAGTCAGAGAAGGACATGTTGTAGTAAACATAGAAGATACATACATGATCCGAAGAAAGGGTTCATCGTGGAGTGTTTTTGCTGAGTGTGACCAGGTGAATGGTGTATGAAAACCATACTGAATTTCCATCATAACTTCGGGAACAGGTGAAATGGAGCTTCGATTGACCTGTGGATGCAGAACACTGCCCTAGTACAAGCATCGAGTTTCCTAGTTTTTGGAAACAAGAAGCAGCCAGAAACAGACAGCAGGCTTAGCAGCATACAAAGAGATACACATCTCTCTGCTGTATGTGTGGTATAATATTAGACCAGCAAAACCTGTTCGCTTTTCCTCCATGAAGCGAGAAGCATGAGAATGCAGGAAGTTCCAGCAGCCCGGTGTTAGTGCTCCTGTTGTATCCTCGTATCTTTCTAGACATGACGCACGCGATTTGAGCCACGACATAGCCGTCGTGCGGTACTAGTACTAAGCCCGCGGTAGTGCTTGCAGCAATGCTATTGTGAAACGTACAGATATTAGACTTCGTATGCAGTGC